AAAATCTATTTTTATATCTAATTATAAAATTCTAAATTTAAAAAATGGTTAAAATCAAGTAGATCTATAAACATATGAAAATCTTCATATGTTGTAAAATGCAATATTTCTGAAACTTAAAATCTTTTTATTTTTCATAGTTGTTGAGATGATCAATCAAAGGGTTTTTCAACATTAAAACTACCTTTTCCGATGGATTTTGAGGGGCATCCGTAGTTCGACATTATAAGGTAGCATCCTTATATAAACCTTTTCGTTAAATAAAATAGGTATAGTTCAGAAGTTATATTATGTTACTGTCTTTATTTCATATGTTTATCATGCACTTTTTGCTTGATCAAGTGAAAATGTGGCCAGGAACAAGGCTTGTATTGGCAAGTTGTGAAATGCAATATAGTTGCATGCTAATGAAGCTTCTAATAATATTTAAATGCTTTAGCTTATAAATAAAATTAAAAAGTACTATTGTTTGACGATAACATGTCCTAATTCTCAAGTTTAAATAAATTGGTAATTCTTTATTTTCCTCATCAGGAAAATATTTTTGAATGGCAATTTGCGATAAGGGGTCCTTGTGATACTGAGTTTGAAGGTGGAGTCTATCATGGACGTATCCAGTTACCTGCAGAATATCCATTTCAGCCGCCAGCATTTGTGTTGCTAACGGTATTGATCTTCTCTCTTACCATTTTTTGAAGTGGCGAGATTCTTTGCTACTGCTTGGAGAACGTCTTTTAGGGGCATAGATTGATACAAACTTTGAACATTGCGTGCTTAATGACATGTTTTCTTCCTTTCATTTCAGCCAAACGGGCGGTTTGAAACGCAAACCAAGATATGCTTAAGCATATCGAATCATCACCCTGAGCATTGGCAGCCATCTTGGAGTGGTATGTTTCTCTTTCTCATGCTTTGTTTTTTATTGGATATAATCATTCATGCATTCCTTTCCACTGTCACTAAATAGTAGCTCACTCCGTAATAAGTAGTAGCTCAACCTATAATATGTAGTTCCATATGCTATGAATGATGCCTTTCAACTTTTTATAGAGCCATTTCTCATTGCACTAAAAATAACCTGTAATCAGACAGACTGCATCTCAATTTGAAATTGGTCATTTTCTATATTGCCGAAGAGAAACTCTAGGAAATTACATTGAAGAATTTGACACATTACTTGTTTTTGTAGCGCTGAAACAAAGTACTTATGTTGTCTATCGTTTTACTGATTGTGAAGTAGTTAGACATTAGAGCATGAGGTTTACGGTAATTGGATTAATTTTCTCTAAAGAGAGATTTATTGAATGAAATAGACTTGAATGTATTATGTTTAAATATATCTGAATAAAGTTATAATTGGGAAATTGCAGTATGCTCCCTAGGGGCACACTATTGCTCCAGCCCCCAAGAAACATCCATTTTCCAATGTCTGACAGTGAATGTTAGACCCTTGGAGACAAATTGAATGAGAGCCTAGCACTATGGCTGATGGGAAGTCCCCTAGCCAACAGTGAATTGATGGTGCTTTCCTCCTATTTATAAAATGCAAATACATAAGTGGTAATTTGGTTTTATGCCAGGGAGGTGAACAATTGAGGCTATTTTCAAGCTTAGGCAACTGATTGAGAAGTTTTGGGCAAAGGGAAAAAACTTACACATGGTCTTTATTGATTTAGGGAAAGCTTATGATAGAGCACCTCGAGATTTGATTTGGTGGGTGTTGGAAAAGAAAGGAGTCTCTAGATACTACATCAACTTGGTGAGAAATTAGACTTCGAAATGAATACATTCGGGACACATAGTTGTGGCTCCAATAGGTGATAAGAAGAGAGAAAGTAAACTTTTATTCAAAAAAAATAGAGAAAGTAGACTTAGGTGGACTGGCCATAGTACAACACCTGTTAGGAGGTGCGAGGTAGTTCAAATGGAAGGCTCAAAAAAGGCAAAAGAATATGATTGGAAGTAATGACAAAAGATATGAGGACTTATGGCCTCATTGAGGGTATGACCCTAAATAGAACAGAATGACAGACCAGTATGCTTGTAGCCGACCCCAAATAGTTGGGAAAAGATTTTGAGGATGATGATGATGACAAAAATAACTTGGTAGTCCATAAAGAACTTGCTATAGAACTTGCTGTAATTAATAAATAACTTGGCAGTCCATAGAGAACCTGCTGTAATCAGGACGTAGAGTGCCAAATCTTTTCATTTGTTGTATTTGAGTAAAAACCATTGTCAATTGGTGTGGAGAGAGATTATTCATTTCCCTCTAGGTTAACGGTTTGAAGTTCTTGTTTTCTTTTTCTCTTTTTCTTTTTTGAGACTGTTGACAGTAATATATTACTAAGAGACCTCACGGAAAGTGAGTATTGCGCAGCCCACAAGCTGGGTGCTTTTTACAAAAAATTCCCAACTATAAACAAAGAAGAATGTTTATCAAAAAATGAGTGTATGGCAGCCCACATTTCGGGTGCTTAAAACTTGTGTGACAAGAAAGATAGATTGCATCCCACACAATAGGTGCTTGAGTGCTCATATCATTGGCAAAGAGTGGAGGAAGTTGAGTGTGTGCAAGAAGAGGGTTGTTAAGAGAGAGAGAGAGATAGAGAAAGAGTGAGAGAGAGAGAGAGAGAGAACTAAGTGGAGGTATTTGGGAGAGAAGATAGAGAGGGAAGAGGTGATGTTGCTGAGGAGAGTGACTTGTGTAACATATAAAATCAAAAACTTTATTAAGCATATACAAGTGAGGTAGCATAGAGTGAGTGGTGGGGGCTGAGAAAATAGAAAGAGAAGGGAGAGAGAGGAGGTGAGAGCGGAGGAGGGAAAATAAGGGAGAGAGGAGAGAGAATCATCATCATCAATGCCTTTTCCCAACTAATTGGGGTCGGCTATCAGGATTCATGGAAAAGTTTTGGCAAAGCTGCAAAATTTGTGTTGGTTGCCTACCTGACATAACCCACCTCTTTTACCTGGGCTTGGTACTTGTTAAGGAAATGTTTAAGGTCCTCACCCTTCTTAGATCAAGAGGAGAGATAATACATAAAAAAAAAAAAGAACTTATACCTAGAACCAAACCAAGATTAAAGGCTTCAAGGTCCTGGTGGGGCATTTAACTCTTCATCTCCCTATTTGGTTGGGTTGGGGTTTCATAATTCTCCTTATACAAATTAAGAACTATATATAGGAATGCCAGCCTGCATAGGTAGAGATGACACAATCAAGCAGACTAGATAGACATATCTAATTTGTTTTTCCTGATCTTTCAGTTAATTGTAGAAACTTGTCCAATTGCATTTATTCCAATTATTACCTGACATATAGTCTTATGCAAGGTCAGTTCTTGTTAATCGTTGTGTAGCTTCAGAGACAAAAAATTATTTATTAAAGTTAGCTTGTTTAGTTTGTTTATGATAAAATGTTGAAAAGCAATAATATAGTTTCGGGTGCTTTGTTTTTGTATGTAGTACAATGTCATTTATCAAAATGAAAAAAGGTACCTAGAGCAATGTTATGGATATTTTATCCTATGTGGAAATGTGGTACCTCTTGATGCTTGATGGGATATTTTGTTGTATGCTTTCATTCTTGACATGGAGTATTTACGGTCTGTTCTTTCCAGCTGATTTGTAGTATATACGATCATGGGGCTGCAGTGACCTACGAATTGCTTTCATGACCTATTGCACCATTTTTCGGGCACTACTATGCTCTTCTAGAAAGCCATTTTTGGAAACTCCTGAAACTCCTAACTAGATGGCTTCTGGTTGAATAATAATCTAATAAATATTGTATATTCAATGTAAAACTCTAAAAGTTTCCATTATCGTAAGGTAAGCTTCCAGTTTGTCATTTATGCTTTTTAAGTAGATAGCAAATTTTGTTGGCCTGATCTCTAAGTCTAGGAATTTATGGTTAAGCTTGGTTTTGCATGAAATGTGCTATTTACACAGTCTACTTCATCATGTCACTGTCACTCAGGATAGTAACTATATCATCGTCCATTATGATAAAGAAACCTATATGCTCCTCAATGTTCTTGGTATGAAAATACATACCGAATGTGGAGAGCCAACCAAACATTCAGAATTTTCTCTTTGCATGTGGTTTGCCGTCTACTCAAGCATGGTGCTATAGAGAATGTTCTTTGTCATTTGAAATTGTTGTCTGGTGCCTTAGTGGCAGATGGCCTTTTGGATGTGTTGTAGTTCTGATTGCTTTTAATATACGCATTGTCACATATAAACTTCAATGTTCTTGGAAATCATTGGATCCTTAATGCTCTGAGAAATCTGTACTGAACATTGGAGTAGGTATATACTATTAGCACCAAAAATTCATAGGCTGCTCTCTACTTGGTTTGCAGTCTACGAGGATGGTGCCATAACAATACCCTTCATTTTCATTTGCAACTGGTATCTGGTGTTTTTGTGTCAGATAGCATTTGAAGAAAGGTTACATATTTTTTAGTTCTTTTTGGTTTGTCACACATGAAATTCAATGAACATTCATTTTATTGCCATTTATGGTTGTTCATGTCCATGATGGGCATCGGGATGTGGGAAAGTATACTATGATCTATATAAGCGCATCAAATAACGTCCAATCAATGGTTGGATGGTGACGGAGAGAGAGTGGGACACAACTGAAACGCTGTCATGTTTGGCAGGCCCCACTCTCTATCACTATCAAGTCATTAATTGTTTGTTGCACCTTATGGCCACAAGCTTGATTTGGTCATATGATCATTGTGTACTATCTCTTGGAATATGCATTGAGTATGGAGCAAGGTATAGGGTACCCAAGATTTACTCTGCTCTTTGGATTTGATTTGCAGTCTATATGAGTGTGGTGCTACATATACAGACAATTAGACTCCTCTGATGTATAATAATCAACTGTTTTCTAGTGTTTATGTGTTAACTGACTTTTGGTTGTAAGGTAGCATTCCATGGTTCTTGTTGGTTGTTAAACATGCATTCAGGTTTTGATGTTCTAGGACACTAATTTTGTATGTTTTAGATTCTATGTAGATAAAACATTTAACCTGGAGAATGAATCTGATGCTCTTTGGTTTAGTGTGGAGGAGGAGACATATGTAAGTGACAATAATTTATGAAGGATTTGAGCCAAGAGAAACATAATTGGATCTCACAGGGCTATTTTAGTTGTCTGATAGGATGAATTTTTGTATATTGGTTAGATGCAAGATTGGGGACAGGAATAGATTTTCTTGATGGGCCGCATGTTAGGTGTGGGAGACCAAATATCTAGTGAAAATATTATAGAATCTTGGGGGCTTGAATGGGGATTTTGACTATAACAAAGGTTTCCTTTAAAGGGATGGATACAAGATGGGAGTGGAGTTCCGTCTTTCGGTTATTTGTTTGGTGTGGGGAGCAAACCGAATTTCTATGTTTTATGTCTAACTACTTTGGGTTTTTGTCCTTGAGATCTCATAAAGAAGATGCCTTTGGATTGGTATAGATGGGTTTTCAGTTTTCTTATGCCTTCTTAGGAGAAACTTGATTCTCGAAGTGTTTGAGGAGTTATTTTCTTTTGTGTTGCCTTGGTTAGTTTCAGTGATCTTGGAAATGGGATTGTGTATATGTGTGTGTGTGTGTATGCACATTTGTGTTTGTGCTTGTGTTTGTATTGTGTGTGTGTGGTTGGGGGGGGGGGGGTGTTGTTTTCTTGTGCCCTCTCAGGAGAAACTTGATTCTCGAAGTGGTAAAGGGGTTATTTTCTTTTGTGTTGCCTTTGGTTAGTTTCGGTGATCTTGGAAGTGGGATTGTGTGTGTGTGTGTGATTTGTTTTTCCTTTTTTCGTTTTCTTTTTTATGGGGGAGGAAGGTGGGGTTGGTATTTCCTGGATGACCTGGGATTCTGGTGTAAAAGCCCTTCCTACTTTGGTTGGTTGGCAAACCTTAGAGTTACATGGATTCTGGGGAAACTATCCTGCACACAAAAATTGTGGGATGTCCTCTGAATTTTGTTGAAGTGTTATTTCTACGGAGAAATGCCATATATTTGCTTTAAGGATAATGTGGAAAAGGTGTTCCTTAGGTTCCTCAGCTCTATATACAGGAAACAGATGTCTTGGTCTGCCACTCTCATAATGGAGGTTATCCATGGTAAGAATGCTAAGCCATCCGGCCAAAGCAGGAAGGTTGATGGATAAGTAAGGCAAGTGCAGCGGCTTGGAATAAGCAACTTGTTGCTGATATGTTTGAAATTCAAAATTAAGCTTGGAAATACCAACTTGATGTTTCTAATTTGTTTAGTATCAATAGCCTTTCATAGTATTTGATGTTGTTACTATTAGGGATCTGTTGATTCAGAATTTCAAATTTTCTAGTATATTTATTACCTGATAATAGCAATTCAGTTTTTTTTACGAAATAGATTGTTTTGTGTGTTAGAGAGAGAGAGAGAGAGAGATTTCACTGTGTTGACATTGGAGAATTTCTGCAGTTCGGACAGCACTAGTGGCCCTGATTGCCTTCATGCCCACTGATCCGGATGGAGCTTTGGGTTCACTGGACTATGGAAAGGAAGAAAGGCGTGCTCTTGCGATCAAGTCACGTGAAGCACCTCCCAAGTTTGGTACTCCAGATCGGCAGAAACTCATTGATGAGGTTACTTCACCGAACCTTGCTTCTTTTTTCTTCCCCCTCCTTCTTTCATGGTAGATTCCTTTTTCCAGTAGGTGATCAATAATCATGGATAATTTTTATTCAAGAAAAAGGATGGTGTACATCAAAGTGTATCCAAGCTTTGGTGAGAGAAGGATATGCATTTGGGAATTTCGCTCCTACTTAGAGCAAAACCAGATGTCAACCTTAGTGCTAAACTCTAGCAAATTAACACTTCTCTAAGCCTTGGAATCCCCAGCATAATAGCCTAAAACTGCAGTACCTAGCCATTCCTATTGGTTACCATACTTGCCCTCAGTGAAATTAAGCAAAAGAATCCAAATTAGCTCCTAACCTATAGTTCTATTTTTCCCAAAAAATTTAATTAGCGACCTTGCCATGGTTTTGGACTTGCGAACTTCTTCCCACCTTTACCAATTAAAACGACAGGCCACCATATTCATGAATTACTTCCCACTGAACATTTGGAAAGATGTCACTATCCTCGATTCCAAGTGGCCTTTGGGCCAAATGGCATGATGCCCTGTTTGTATGAGCCTATTGGGGAGGTCTAGTGTTCGAGCCCTTGGACTCTGTCCCTCAAATCAAACCAAACTAACCTACTTGTTTGTCTCTGTAAATACCCCTCTACAAATTCTTTGAAACATTCCCCAAAAAAACCTTATCATTCTTTGAACCTGAAAAAGCAACCCTGGTAGCACTTGTAACATTGATTTGATGGAAGTCATGCATGAAACGTATTCTATCCATTGCACTTGCGGGCCATCGACCATCCTTTCTCAAGATGGACATTGGAGATGAAGCATTCTATGAACATGTTAAACCTAAAAAGAGTTCGTCTCCATCATCATTCTTGGGAATAAAGAGTTTGTGTATCATACAACATGCACATTGTGATTGTCTGTGATGTACTCCCTTAGCCCAGTTACTCCTAAATTTTCTAAAAAACCTCTTTTTGAAATCTACAGATTCACGAATACTTGTTGAGTAAGGTGCCCCCAGTGCCCAAGACCGAACCTTCTATGGACGAGCTACAGCCTCGAACTGAGGGAATAAACTCACCACACACCGAGCAAGATGACGACAGCAACAATTTGTCCATCGCAAACATTAATGAAGAACCGGCTGGTGGAGCGGCAGGACCTGGGAGGGTGGTGGAAGATGTGAGGGAGGTGCGTGTGGATGCAAATGCAGGCCCACTGAGGGTCACCTTTAGCGCGGGGCTGCGGGTCTCCAGGCGGGCTCAGCCTGGTGAACAGGCTGTGTTGCAGCTGCAGCAACAGCAGGGAGGTCCACAGCAGCAACCCGTTGCAGCTGTGAGGGCCCATGTGGCCATTGACGACAGGTGGTTGACGAGGATGGCAGCTGCTTTGGCCATTGCTATTGCGGCCCTTTTGCTTAAGAAATATCTCAAATCCATTGGATGGGCCAAGTGAGAGGTATTCTCGATGGTTAGTTACATAGAGAGAGGGAGGGTTTTGCATGTCAGAGATTGATTCCTTTTTGTTTTTTTTTCTCTATATTCTGAAATAAAGTAGTTGAAAGAATGCGAATTTGATGGTGTCTAGTGTAATATAACACGTATTATTGGGTATTTGTATAGTGGACCAGGAATGGGATATGTTCGTGTACTAGAAATTGTGGTATGAAGGGAGACACCTATCAATCTCCCTTCACTATAAACTCACCTTATGAAGCGAAAAAATAACTGTCATGCTGGTTTTGTACCTTTTAATGTCTATCCGATAAGATAAAGGATTGTTAATATGAAAATGCCTTGGGAACATATTTATCTCCGCTTTGTTCCGAAGGGAAGAAAGATGAGTACAAAAGGATGCTTGGATAAAGTTTCTGATGAATTTGATATTTGTGAGGATGTCTAGTTCCAAATTCTATCAGCAGTTCCTGTAGAATCAGTTGGTAAATTCAGTTGTGCGTGCAAGTAATGGCAACAGAAACTCTCCTCTCTGTCCTTTGCAAGGATCCATTCACTCATGTCCCCCACACTTTCGACATCCTCCATCCTCTTCACTGCATTTTCGGGCGTCTTCTCTGTACGTGTCTCTGACGTTTTAGACAAAACAACACTCATAAGTAACAAAGAAAACACAATTTAGGCTTGGTAAATTTGAAAGAAACAAAAGAGAGTGTCAGAGATTACTTCAATTGGGTTTTTTATATTTAACATCGGCATACTACTTTTCGATGGTATGAGATTTAATGATTAACATTCAATTTCAACTGGAAAAACAAGTTTGGACAAGCCACATCAATGTAACATGAACCATTTTGACTACAAATTCAAATTTTAGTTTAATCCTTTTTGAAATCTAGTTTGATTGAGATGCTTCTCTTTTTTATTACAACTATATTGTCTAAAACCCCAATGAGAGATGAGAAATCATGAGAGAAGATGAGAGACATCTTGAGATGAGATATCAAAGATGAGAGAGAGGGGCGTGTCCCTTTGAGTCATTGAGGGAGAGAAATTTTTTTGAAAGAGAGATTTTTCCCTAGAGGGGCGTATCCCTTTTAGATGGATGAGAGAGAGATAGAAAGTTGTTTTAGATGGATGAGAGAGAGATAGAAAGTTGTGGTAAGAGATAAGGTGTAAAGATTTTGGTAGGGATCAATCTTTTTTTATAGTACTTGAACAAGATTAGGGGTTTCTTAGGGTTTTTTCATCGGCCATTCATGTGAGTTTGAATATGCACCATTAATCTTGGGTGACTTGTGAGGTGAGAGATTTGAGCTCTCCATTCCACAGATGTTCCATGAATGAGCTATCAACATCCTATAAAACGTGCTCGACCATTCCACTTCTTAAACCATTTTCTCATCAATTAATTCAAATAAAAAATTAATATATCATGATATTATCATTTCTTGTTTTATATATAAGCCTTCTCATACATGCCAAAATATCATTCAAAATTTTTTAAGCTCAAGCTTACTTAAAACAACCCAAGCTTATCTCTCAAGCTTTAAAGCTTGATCTCCACAAAATAAATCGTCTCTTTAGGCCGGGCAGTCACCTGTTTGGGTACATAATGGGCTCCACCCAAATGAAATGGTAGGCCCAAAAGATCTATTGGACCTCCCATTCACTTATATTATATTTATAATTTTAAAAAACACAAAATCATTATTTGAATATTTAAATCATTGTAAAATAAATATCTATATTTTTATAAATCCAAATTTGATAAATAAAATATCCAGAGATTCAGAAAAATCAAATAACAATTTTAAAAATAATATATTCTTAAAATAAATAAAATAAAATAAAAATTGATTAGAAAATGATCCATATGATCTAGGAATAAATATCTATTGGGGCATTCCATGTCCAACCGCGAACTATGAATCACATATGTTTTTTCAATCTGACCAAGTGTTGTCCATAACCCACAATCCATGCAGGAGATCATTAGTGGATCACCAAAGTCTAGCCGATGGCTAAGGGGTCGCAATCCAAGTATATGGATTTCAGGTCCCCCCTGGAGATGAAACTCAAGGTCATCTTGACCTGATGCAATCCATAACTCGATTGTGCATAGGGGGTATACACATGCTTCACCTTGAAAGGAGGTACGCTTTTTCGAAAATGACTATCGATATCCATGTCATGTGATGGTACAAATGATGATGCTTTAGCCCTGTCTCTAAAGGCCTTCATCACACATAAGGGTTGCACAGTCCCTCGGCTCATTCATCAAGGCATATTTTGAAGGGATAACCCATATAACCCTCATCGGTACGATTCTCTGAGCCCAGGTAATATGAGTTTTCTCCAACCAGACCGACCGAATACATCAAGCACAGTTTGGTATCAGCAAACATCATTTGCTTAGTATGGTTCACAAGGGACCACACTCCCACACGTTCCACTCTATATAATTCCATTTCACAAGTACTCGGCCTTTAAAGGGACCCGATCCAGATCCGAAAAGTGAATTTTAGATCCTATTTGGATTCGGCTATGGATCTAAGAATTGGATCCAAAATTCGGATTAAGATCCAAAAATTCAGATCCGAAAAAAATCTAGATCTGCTCTGGGTATAGGCGGATCTGATCCAGATCCGACCCGATTTATTTAAAATAATATATTTTACATATATATTATCATTTTTATATTTATAAATTTATATATTATACAAATATTTTAATCTAATCCCTACCGTAGGTTAATAAAAGATGAACAGTAGGATCCTCTCTTTTCTCTCTAAACAAACCATAAACACAAACGATTAGGGTTTCTACGAATAAGACCCATCAATTTCACCACCAAGCCACCTTGCTTCTCTCTCTCTAACAAAACACGAGTATCAAGCCACTTGCCCACTTGCTTCTCTCTCTACCAAAACACCACCAAGCCACCTTGCCTCTCTCCGTGATCCACTCGTTTTGTGCAAGGATAAATTTCAATTTTTTGAGGTCGTCTTTTTGGGTTTGGATATTTTTGGGGAGATTGGATCCGTCACTCTAGTCAAAATTTATTGGTGGCCAACAATTTGTTTGTTCATTTAGGAGCTACAATAGGATTCAAATGGAATAAATCTGGATTTCGAACCGAATCTTGTATAAAATTCTGGATCTGGATTCGGATCCCGATCCAAATAGTCAAGATCCGATCAGATTCAGATCCAGATCTGATGTATATTATTCGGATCCAGACCTGATTCGGAAATTTCTCACACGCACCCAACACTTTACGCCGACACTGTTCAACCCTAATTCCTTATAATCTCTCATTAGCCTTCTCATGTTTCCTCATAGTATCAATCATCCTTGTTTCCCCACCAACCATCAATCCCAATTCCAACTTCTCACTTTAGTAGATACATTGATTCTTTTTTGTTTTCTTTGTCATGTGGGTTAATATTTTTTTCCTAGTTTAAGCGCCGAAAAAGTTTATACAAATTTGAGGCCCTAAACAATCAAAACTAAGATGCCCTTAAAAATTAACCAGAAGAAATTTTTTCAATGTCACAAAACCATCAAATCCAATCATTTCAAACTTTACATACATGGACATAAAAAAAATGGATTTCAAGTCTTAAAAATAGTGCATATTATAGTGTCGATTTTCAAGTGTTCAAAGATCTACTTAATCTACACCATTTTTGAAGTTTTAAATTTTATTATTAGATATGAAAATATATTTTTAGGCCATCATAAAGCTTTTTGGTACTGAAATGTTATCTTTCAACACTATATGAAAGTGCGCCGTACTTTGATTGTTTAGGGCCCCAGCTTTTTACAAACCACACCCCTTATTTGAAAGAAAGCCTTTATATGAGATTGAAGCTCTAAACAATCAACTAAGGCCACCTTTGAAATTCACAACAAGGGTTAAACCCAATCATCTCGATCTGAGATACATGGACGTAAAAAGAAAAAGTGGACTTCAAATCTTTGAAAAACTGCATCTTGTCATGCATTATCTAGACCATCAATTTTCAAGATTTTCAAATGTTCATAGATCTGCTTTATCATATGAAATATAGATATGTGTGTCTTGGGGTTTGATCATATGTTGATATTTGGTGGATACAAACGCATTTTGGGACATGCATATGGCACCTCTAAGTGTCTATTACCGTGTCCTTTTTTGTATGCACGTTTTTTTAAAGCAGTGTCATGTCTTTGTCTAGAAACTCTATTCTTCATTGAAGAGTATTTTACTTTAAAAGTAGAAAATAATCAAGAATAAAATAAGTGGTTTAGAATTAATATATATATATATATACTTGTTAAATTAGGGTTTCTATAAGTCATTGTTATTATACGTAAAAAAATTAGGGTGTCTCCCTTTCCAACTTGTTTCTCCCTCTCCAAACTTACATAGATGGACCTACCGAAATTGACATTGCGAACATGGTATCCGATGAACCAATCATAGAAAAGAAAAGATCAATTAAGAGTGCAAGTGGAATAATCATGTGATTTTGGATGAATGCTTTAGGACCCTTTTTAATTAACACACAATGAAACGCTACATTTTGAGTTAACAATTACCTAATAGTTTGTAGCTTTTTTGATATTGTTATGGTATAACTTTGGTTCGTTTATAATTAATTTTGATAAATAAAATTCAGATTCACAAAGTAAATGTTTTTGTACTATTATTTTTATTTTTATTTTTTGGATGTTTTACTAATGTTGTATGGTATGAATTATCGTGAATGTAAATGTAAATGTGCACTACATATAGATTTTAATATATGCATATATACACGTACGCATACATATAAATATTTGTATATTGTACAGATGTGTCGTGTCAATATGTCACATCTTTTACACTCTCATCTGTGTTATAAATCGACACATGTATCCGTGTCTATATCACATAGGCTTTATGTATACTTTTTTTAAGTTTTAAATTTCATAATTAAGGTTGAAAATAAATTTTCAGACCATCATAAAGATTTTCGATATTAAAATGACATCTTTCGTCAGTATTCAAAAGCGTGCCTTATTTTGATTTGATTAGGGCCTCAGCCTGATACAAACCAAACACATTAAATCTTTAGTTTGCTATATTATTGATTGATGTTATTCATTGTAAGAGTAAGTTTGGAAATACCCTATACGTAGATTTATTTAAAATTAATATCTTAAGTATACCTCTATAGGCAATTATAGGCTGGTACGTGATGCCTTCAAGTTATAAAATGGATCGGAAGCGAGACTTAAGCAACCATGGCTAAGAGTCTAAGACTAAGACTAGCAAGTAGCCATAGCAGAGAGAGAGATATGCTCTCTAAAAGGCTGTTTGG